TCTCTTAGTTCAGCTGTGTCTCCTTATTAACCTCGTTTATACCACTACTTAAGTTCCTTTGGAGCCTCAGTTCATTGTCGGTTGTTATTTGTGGACAGCACACGGTTTCCTATTGTTGGAGTTTCTTGTTAAATAAATCCTGTTATTCTTGTAACCTATCTTCTTCATCTCTGGATCAGCGTTACACTTATGCCGAGTTCAGACTGCACGATTTTCAAAATAATCGGGTCACTGTTGTTTTCACACTGCATGACTATCTGGGGTAACATTCAGTTGCTGCTGTGTTCACACTGCACGATGGATCGGCGACAGGAGGTTTCACACTGCATGACTTTACAAAAGAAAGAATCGCCGACAACTTCTTCCTGGTCCGCAAACTACGTTTCACAACCAAACAAACGCGAGAAGTGATAGGAAATAACGGAAGATCACGCGTGCGTGAGACCGGAGTTCTCGCGCGACACTGAATTTGTTATTAAAAATGATAGCCTACAAATTGTCTGTGCACTGATTTGTAGCGAAAATGAAAAAATAAATAAATAAACAGTTTATGCAGAAAATGGCTGGGAAGACGAGGGGAGCAAGGACTGTGTTTTGCAAAGAGAGTTGGGGGTAAATAAATAATTTTGCAAATGCCTGCTGTTGCTGCTGGTCATGCAAATGTTTGTTTCTGTTTGATATAATTGTAAATATAGGCCTATCCATAGACATAATAAATACATAGACGCCCTATTGGCCGCTTTGGAACGTTGCTGCGATACGTCAACGGGTCCGCCATTTTGCTGAGGGCAAGACTGCACTGTAATCAAATGTAAGTAAACGGGGGAGCTGCGTTTTTTCTGGATAAAAACAAACTGTTTTTACATTTATCAACCGATTTCAGTGGTTTGTATGTGGTGTACAAAAAGTTCCATCTCTAGTTATTTAAAATCTCGATAGTTAGACTTGTAAAATATTTTTTTTTTTATAAAGAATGGTCAAAGCTCAGGCTTGTCATGTATCTGGCTTTTTATTCTTGGATAAGAATGGTGAAGACCCCCATACTGAGATATAATTTAAGTTTTCTTATTGTGGAAAAAGCATTTTCTGTGATTGACCAGATTTTAGCAATAACAAAGATAACTGATGGATCCTTCATAATAATACGTTATGGTACAACTACAGTGCAATGCAAATAGTAAATATAACATAGTGAGAAGTAATAGTAAATAGTTTAGTCAATAAAATAAACAAATAGTATACAGCAAATAAAATAGTAATGATTAGTATAATTATATAATATCATAAGTACAATAATACAATCATAAAAATATTGATAATAGCATAGTTTATTAATAATACTATAATAATAGCAATAGAATAAGAAATATCAATTACAGAATATACACAATAAAAAATAAGTTAAATAGTGACTTTAATATTTAACTCTTTTTGTTAAATTTCTGTTTTATTGATCAGTAAAAGCCATTATAACAGAAGTAGCTTCAGTCAAACATAGAGCAGGATACAATGTTAAAATAGCCTAAATATAAAGTTATGAAACTTCACTTTGCCCTCAGCCAAAACGATTTGCCAGGGAACCATTTATAGATTAATGAGACCAAAGATCGCCCGTTAGATATACACAAGACGAATTATATCTCATGTTTAACCACTAGACTACAGACATCCGAGTCAGCGGCAAAACTTCAAAAGCACTGGCCGAGGGACGGCTGTTCCAGGCGGGGTAGACGAGCGCTGAGCGCATCTTACAACTCCGAAAACGTCAGATCAAATTTTCAAATAGGCGCTATCTTTATAAACAAACCACATATTTGAGCTTTAAACAACTACATTGTCGACTGAAAAACTATTTAAACTACATTTCGTGACACAATAACAGTAGTATTTTTAAATTTATCCTCTGAACGTTACTATTACTAATTAAATCATGACCAAATACAACTAAAAACAAACGTTCAGTCTTGCTTGTGAAAGGTAATTCCTCGAAAGCTGTTTTCAATTGTGTGGCGATGTGTACAGCCCCAAACAGCGCACAAAACATGCATTTTTCTCAGTTCCCGGTATGAGAGGTATGGGAAAGTTGCCATCCCCAACATGGCGGCGCCGTTGACGTACGCTCCAGCGGCCAATAGGGCGTCTATGTATTTATTATGTCTATGGGCCTATCTATTAAAATACTGATATTCTGGTCTATAACTCCTCCTCCTCCTCCCTGTATCTTGCTCTCTCATTGGCTGTCGGTCATCGCCGATGTAGTTTTCAGTCAGAACACATTCACACAGCAGGATTGTGAATCGCCGACAGGTCCAGATATTTAGCATGCCAAATATCTCATGGGCGTCGGCGACTCGTCGGCGATTCTCTCAGATCGCGTCTTTGCTCATTCACACTGCGTGATTGTCACTCGCGTGAACGAGCACCGATTTGCCTGTGATTTCGGGCATTTGTCGGCGATTTCTCAAAACCTGTCGGCGAGCCAAAATCGGGGCTAAAATCGTGCAGTCTGAACTTGGCATTATAGTGCAGATGCGATGTGGTGATGAAGACATTTGCACATTTTGAGAGAGAGAGAGCACAGATTCGCTCGTGCTGTTCGGGAAATGATGTCTTAGAGAAAGTTTTCAAATTACTAATTTGTCAAAAGTTATTTAATAAAGATGTATGAATTGAACCTCACCATCAACATTATAGTTATTTTACAAGTGCCGGATAGAGACTACGACGGTGCCGCTGCAAGCATGTCATGTGGGCCATGCCGTAGCTCTCACGGCAAGTGTGCGTCTTTTTGCGTCATCAGCCTGAGGTTGGTTTCTGAGATCAGCAAATTAAGAGATCGCCGATTGAGTGATTAGAAGCGTTTATCGGCCGATAGCGATCGTTCATAGCCGATCAATCGGAGCACCCCTAGCAAGAAGCCCATTTTAAGCTGTACCTTCCTCTGGGGAAGTGCTGATATTGAATACAAATGGAACGGAGTTCCGAATAGAATGAAACAGAAAACGAAGTGTAATTGGTACACATGCGCTACAAACATTCAACAGTCACTATCAGAGGATCCCAATGCTCTTACACAATATTGAAATCTTCCACAAATGGCATGGACAAAAGCAGCCTCTGCTCTTTACTTTGTGCACTGTAGTTCAGAGTCCACTTTCTTTATGCTCTGCTGACAGCTGGAATTTGATTGGTTCAACAGTTCGTTGTTACCGTAATTCACATAAAAGGCAGCAAAAAATCATAATTTCCTTACAACCCATTTGTGTTCCTTGATTTCCAGCTGGAGTAACTTAGTCTTTGACGCTATACAGTAGAAAATATGGATATTTCTTGAATTTAGACGTGTTTTCTATGACGCTGTATATTTATATGGTGATAAACGCATCTCACTGTTTATAAATGAATATTAGTCTTGTTTATTGAATAAATCACTGACAACCTGCATTCAGTGATACCAAGCTATATATTCTTTAAAGACCATTAGAAAATTACACTACAATAACAAGTGCATCTCAAAAACTACTAAAAATTTACAATTTAATTTAGTGTCATGCGTTCACTACGGAAATCAGACATTCCTGCTTCTGAGGCTATGTGCTTGACGAATTCTCTCCAGAGTAAAAAAAACATCAAAACTACAGGCATTCAAGACGAATTTAAAAATACCCACGTTAGGTTTCTTCCCATTTCTTCACAAACCACATTTCTCTGGCTGTTTCCTGTTAGTGTTTACTGTTGCTTTTTATTTTAAAATGTGAAAATATTTTAACAACAGAACCAGATGGAAAAAACACAAACCCTATGAGCAAAACGCAACACAAGCTTGTTTTCATTTCAAATATTTCATAGTTCCCTTCAGACCTGATAAATCATCTTTACAGCAACAGGAAAGGAATTGGGTGCAGGGCAAATTCTGTAAAACAAACAATCCCTAGGATCCAGAGGCATCTGATGCTGTTTCAACTATCAATTGTTCCCTGTTTTTTCACTGCCATGGCACCAGCAAGCAGAGGTTTCTTTTACTGACCTGCAAATCTTTTAGCACGGAGGTGCGGAAGTCAGTTGGAAGTCAATGACATCCATGGCAATAGTACTGAAATGGCTCTTGTTAAATGAGTGAAATGATCAACGGCTTTAAAACAGAGCTGTCTTCTGCATTAAAGCGTCTGCTGTAATTGAGGTTTCTTTCATGAAGGTGGGGAATGTTGTATCACATGCCTGTGGAATTCAGGCTCTAATTGACCCTTGAATTCATTGCTGGCCATTAAAAACAAAGCAGGCCTTCTATGCTGCATGTGGGTTGTGAACTATGTAGGGCACTGGCCGGTCAGTTGAGTAGCACTTATTCATGAATTCAGCACTGGATTAAATTGGACCTTGATAGTATCACACTTTGTAGTTAGGACAGACATTACTTTGTCTCACAAGTGGCTTGTTGATGCTTTGCTGCTGAATTCATTAATACATAAATGAATCAGGTTACATTAAGTGGTTTCATAGGGTTTAAATAAAAAGTTTACGTTCATGCACGTGTTCTACATCTACCTCTTAAAACATTTAAAGGGATAGTTCCCCCAAATATGAACCTTCATTAATAATTTACTCACCCTTATAGCGTTCCATATCTATATGACTTTATTTATTCTGTGAAACCTAAAAAAATGATATCTTGAAAAATGTCTGTTTTTTTTTTTTTGTCCAAACAATGAAAGCCAATGGGGTGCAAAACCATAAAAAAATATATAATAATTTTTATTCGAGTGAACTTCCCCTTTAAATGACTTGGGAGAGTTTGTACAAAGATTCCACACTATCGTTTCATCTGACAGAAAAATGGTCTTTGTCTTTAACACTACCATCGAAACAGGCGCAAGTTCTCCAGATTGTCACTACTGTTTGGTTGGAGGGGTTGTTACAGAGAGGCCTGAGGCCAGTAAAAGGGGGTGTGCGTGCAATTTGAATGAAGAGATGAGGAATGAGGGGTGGGGGTGATTACTGACCTCCTGAATCAGAGAAGAGCCACCGCCACCGAAAGCAACACTCGAATCTTTCAGCTTCCTTCCTGGCCCGCTGCCTTGGCCTGACTGAACACATGTCAAGGGCAAAACTGAAATCACGGGCTGAGACGTACAAAGAACTACATTTGACTCATGCTAATGAAGCCAGCAATGAAAGACGGCATTTGTTTTAAACAAAGAAAAGGTCACAACACAAAACATTCTGGTGTTAGTTGCTTTAGTACCAGACATTGTACTAACAGGCAAGTGAGTTGGATTAGCCATAACATTTTATATTTGCATCATATTCTCAGACAACAGCCCTTTCATTTTTCTTTCCACCCCCATTTTACCCTTACATACTTCTCGCTGTCTATTCACTTTACGTTTTTCCTCCAATTTTTTTTTCAACCCCAAAACCTGCCGCCTGTGCTCCATTATCCAAAACCTCCTGTGGGATTAAGCAACAAGCTAATTTACTAATGTTACATGTGATCTTTAGCCCCATGTGTGTCTCTGAATCAGACTGAATGGGTCAGGCTGAGATTACCCTCCATCTTATAAATGATTCAACTGCTGAGGAAAAGGGTGTTACTACTAGCATTACACTAACAGTTTACATAAACAGACAAAACTAATACAAAGATGTCAAATAGACTGTAAATATTCAATGATGTTCCCAGCAAATTTAAAGACGAAACATCTGACGCCAGGTCCTAATCAGGTGTGATGCAGAATAGTAAGTAAAAAACAAAGTTGAGTAGAATTCATTTAGTTTATAATTCTCATCATTTTTTGATAATTTTGGTAATTTTGTTACAATAGCTTACACACAGCACAGGGAGGCTTTACTTGAAACTGAACTAAATTTACCCCCCCTCCAAAAAAAAGACAAGTAAACAGTCAGTAATACAATAAGAACAAATAAACAAATTGCAAGCGATAGCACAAATAAAGAGATTAGAATAAAGAGACAAATTAAATAAACAGTGCTTTAAGTTTTTCATGTGGGTATAACTGTAGGCTAGTATTCAGGTAAGAAACACTACAGAAATGAAATAAAGTAATTCAATGTAAATATTACACTAGTCTCCATTGTAAAAATGAAATACAGATTAATGCTTACAATTAGTTACAAGAGCATGGATTGATTTTCTTTTTGCATTTTGTTCTTTGATTAACATGCAAGACAGCAGCAGGAATATTAGGCTGCTGTGACTTTAAGAGTCTGTGCACGGATCCAATTTACTGTTACACAACATGCATTTTCTCTCAACTATTTACGTTCCAAAACTGACTGTTTACCTGTAATACTCACCAAGATGGGCATTTTGACATATTGTTGGGAGTATTTGACCGTTTAAGCGCAATAAGCCACGGAAAAGAAGTACATTTGGTACTCACTAGCTGTATGAGAGGAGGCTTTATGAGAGTGCCACTTGTATAGATCGGTGGTGCACGCGCTTTTGGTGTGAACGCGAAACCTGCGGGAATGACTAAAATGATGTGCAAAATAAGCACTATTCAACTGGAGCAAATGAGATGAGTAAGTGACAGGAGGCAGGGGTGTGTTAATTCGCCGTCAGAGAGAAGAGAGTGTGAGAACACGCAGCTGGTATCAGTGTATCAATAATGCAGAAAAGGGGTATTGGAACCATTTCAGATATTTCAGTATCGATACATATTGAAATATAACTATTTTTGAAAACACTAATTCGTAGGGATGCACAATTTGCCCAAAAATGTTGTGATTATATATCAATATCATTATAAAATTATTATTATTTTTACTAAATAAAATATTTAACATCATTAAACTATTTATATATTTCCCTGTACAATAAAAAATACTATATACTAATATTTATGGCAGTCTTCATTTTCAAACATTAAACTATCAAACTTTTATTCGGCAGGAACCCTTAAAGCTTTTCTTTTGTTGACTACAGACGGTTTATCCCATTTTTTCATACACCCCATGACGCTTTGCGCAAATTATGGGAGTAACTTAAACTGTAAACAATCAGTGAAAGGTTCGATCTATGAACGCAAAAATAAGCTTTTTTATAAAAACTGGGTACAATGAAGTTACATTCTTCTACTCACCCTTCAACCATTGAACATTAAAAGGAAACTTAAAAGTGTAAACATTACTACAACAGACCATAAATAACCCCAAAAGCATGATTCTTTCCGCAAGAATATTACGGATGGGTTAAATTTCACTGTAGTAATATTTGTCTATATTATGTAAAATGTGCGGTCTTGATCAAAAAGGTTTATTAACTTTAGAATTGACTTGAGTAATAATATTCAAACACGCTTTCCATCATTTTGACATAACAAATATTATATTTACCTGCTGTAGAAACTTTCCAGTAAACACTGCTAATAGGAATTAGAAGTGAAAAGGGGAGACAATTAAATTTTTAAAGCATCCGTGTGAAAACAAACCTGGAATGAGACGTGAGGATTTGGGGAGAAAAACGAGGGATTCTTAGTAAATTAGTTAATAATTCATGTGATATATCGTAAATTAAATCGGGAGAGCAGACCACAAATGTGCAGTATATGTTGTCTTTTGTCATACTATTAAAGAGGAATACAAAGGGAAAAAAAGAAAATAATCAGGAGGAAAAGAATGCGGCGACTGAAAAGAGCTCTTGCCACAGATATTCTTGTGATACCACATCACATTAAAATACCAAGCGTTACGTTATTCTTCTGATGTCTGAAAATAAAACTGAAATTGTACACCTCATTCAGTCAAACTGGCTGATAAAGTTTATTTGTAGCGCAACCTGATTATTTGAAATGATTTGCTTCAGTCTTTTTGAGTAGAAGTTTCCCAAACCGAAAGTGCCTCCGGGCTCCCATAATTCAAAACGCAATAGGCTCGTCAGGAAAAGGTGGATAACCGCTTCTCATTGCAAGTATGGGAAGATGGCAAAATTATACAGCATTCCCTTAAAGGCAGGGTAGGTAAAAATCCCCAAAAATACTTTTTTCCAAATTTGTTTAAACTGTCTTTATATATCAATGCATAATTAAAATGTAAGTAATCTGGAAAAGAAATTATAAAAATCGAGTGTCTGTAGTCCTCTCAGGACTGCAATAAACACAGCTCATTATTCCATTCGGGACGAAAGAAAATATTGGCTGGGGCGACTGTCACTCTCCCTCGCTACCATGGATACCACCTCTGCTGATACAGGAGCAGCCCAAATGCGCGCAAGGGGCTGAAAAGTGACTCCATGATGGCATTATTTCTGCTGGACAGGTAATCTCGCTGTTTTCATTTTGATGGCATTTATTTTTTCATGAAGCATGTATCACTAGCACACTACCTAATATAGCTACCTAACCTTACGTAGCATAACTAACGTTACACTGGCTTAGCCATGACAGTGTAACTTTGGTGTCGACTGTTATAACGTTACTGTTAGTGAGCCAGGGTTGAGACGATAAATAATCAATAGGCCTATCTGCAGGTGAAAGCTGTTTTGTTTAATTTCGCCAAATCTAACTTTAGGTTAAAAAGTTTAGGGGATCTATTTTTATACCTAGCTTTACCCTCTGCCAAAACTTTGTTCCTATGTTCACCGTGAACTCTACCTGCTCCGTTTTTTCACGTTTGGTTTGTTGTTATATGCTCTACATATGTTTACCTATGTCTTTATGTTGTATCTGTATGTGTTATACAATATATGTTGTGTGTGTGTGTGTTATATTATCTGGTGTCTTCAATGCAGTTGTGAGAAGGTGTTTGAGTGTATGTTACTCAGTTTATCTGTAAACAATACATCAGAGCCAACAGTGCTTTCATCGTGGAAGCTCTTACATGCAAAACACCTGTATATGTTATGAATCTTACAAATTCACCTTCATCACAGTGTAACTGATAGTAACGGCGAACGTGTATCAATGAAGCTATTTATAGCTTTGCCTTATATTGAGTTTGATTCGGTTACGAGCTAGTAAAATATTTTAAACTTTACCAGTATTGATATGCGAGCTTGATAGTGTGTACTAACAGCCATGTTAATTGTTTATATTCATACTGATAAAGTTAGTTATTTTATTACGTGTGATTCTGACATGATGTCACTAAATGCACTGCGCTCCTCTCTGCTCGGCGCTGGTAAACGCGTCCGACTCTTCCAGCTGAGCGAACGGCCGGGATCGCGCGTTCATGTGTTTTGGGGGCGTGGCTTTGGAAGGAGCCGAGAAGGGAGGGGGTGGGAGTTAATGGAATAATGAGCTGTGTTTATTGCAGTCCTGAGAGGACTACAGACACTCGATATTTATAATTTCTTTTCCAGATTACTTACATTTTAATTATGCATTGATATATAAAGACAGTTTAAACAAATTTGGAAAAAAGTATTTTTGGGGATTTTTACCTACCCTGCCTTTAAGCCAGATTACACAAATAGTCCTTCAGGCAAGCCACTAACTAGTCAGTTTTGCACATCCCTAGCATTAAACGCGTCTTCTGGATGTGACTGTGTTACATCATGCAGCCGTTTTGTGCACAGTGTGGTCAGACAAATTGCTTGTCACTGGACACTTGTTGCATCACACCTAATTAGAACACAATGTGTACTGTATGAACATGTCTAAATGCTTGACCAAACCAATCAGGCAGTAATAAACTCATATAAACACACACACACAAAAAATGTGTGTGTGTTTTGTGAGGGATCATTAGGATGGGGGGATGTGCTGAAGAAGCTAATCCTGTAAAGAGAGTATCTGATTCTGACCGTAAGCCTAAGACACTCAATGCTTGATTCCTCCCTATCTTTCATTACAACTCTTCACCTTAATGAACGCTGACACGTGAGGCCATATGGGCCGAGACTGATGACATGAGACCTCAGCTGCTGCCTGCTGCCATCTAATACTCACTGCACTGCATGTGTCTTACTGATACTGACACAAGGAGAAATGAAAACACTTTAGCACCAAAAACAAAAATGCAAAGCCAAAAGCAATATGATCTAAAAGTGTTTTACTGCTGAGCTCCAGCTTAGCCTAAACACACTGCAAAAGATTAGCCATTCCTTTACTGACCATTACTCTTG